CGACTATGTTGAAAGTATCATTTTCTCTATCTTATTGATCATCTGCTCTATTGGAGTCCCATTAAATGGAATTGTTATTTGGCTGCTTGGCTTCCAAATGAAGAGAAACCCTTTCACAGTATTGATTCTTAATTTAGCTATTGCCGACTTTGGATTTCTCATACTTATGACTGTATATTGCATTGACGATTTTATACATATTCTACAGTCAAGAATTCTCCAGAAAATCTTCTTTTCTCTCTCCGATGTCACATATATCAACGGTCTATTTCTTCTGACGGCCATCAGCATTGACCGGTGTGTGGCTGTCCTCTTCCCAATCTGGCATCGCTGTTCCCGGCCAAAATATTTGTCCCCTGCTGTCTGCATCTTCCTCTGGATCTTCTCTTCCCTCCTGGTTGGAATTCATTACATTATGCAATATTTGTTTTGGAATCTCCATTTGGTTGTGACTGCTGTGCTTTGCCTTCCTCTGATCACAACCTCTACTGTGATCCTATTCATCAAAATATGCCTTAAATCCAAACAGATGAAACGTGGAAGACTTTTAGTGATGATCCTAATTACTCTTCTCTGTTTCCTTATTCTTAATCTTCCATTATACATCTACGTGTTCATTACTCATTTTCTTAAGACGGAGAATTTATTTGATGCTAATGAACTGGATTTCTACTTAAGTCCAAGTGCTTCTCTAAACAGCAGCATTAACCCAGTGATCTATTTTCTGGTGGGGAGAAAGAAAAGACCTCAGTCCAGGGAGAGCATCAAGGTCATTTTTCAAAGAGTCTTCAGGGAAGACGAAGCTCCTGAAACCAGATAAAAATTTACAAACAATTTCACAATCTTCCGCAAATGCAAAATTTCAAAATGCTGGATCTCTCTTATGAGTACAAAATTGTATTTCTTGTTTCAGAAATAAAGTATAACTAGGGTTTCGGGACCTCCAAAAGAATGTTATCAGAGTTCATCTTGAGGATTGGGGGAAAATGTGGGAAGCAAGAGTTTTCCCTCCAAAGTGTGCCATTTACACAATCCCGCAGTCATTAGATTAAGCCAACTTAAGCCAACATCCTGCTGGCTTCCGTAACCGAAGTCACTGGGGAAGCTGGCAGGAGGTTGCAGGTCCCAGGCACTCAGATGAGAAAGTGGCTGATGTCGTGTGAGGAGGGGAGGAGCGTAAGGGGGAAGGTGAGCAAATGGCAAACAGCAACAGGAGACTGGGCTTTGTATGAACGTGTGAAGGAGGGTCAAGGAAGATGTGCAGGGATATCCAAGTAACTTGGATGCAA